GACCAATTAGCTCCACAGTAAAGCATCACCATCTACACATGTGGTATTATTAGGATGGAGTAAACTCATTAACACTGTCATAAGTTAGTACTGGCAGACACAAGTACTATCCTATAGTGGAGTTATTGACTCTGCTGCAATGCATGTGTAGACACTGACAGGGCTGGCTGGGACATGAGGGTGCTCCAGTGTGGGGGCTGCCTGCCAGCTAGCACTGCACTGAAGCAAAGGTGTGCCCCAGCCAGCCCCGCTGCAGCACGCTGAGCCAAGTCAGAGCAGCCTTGGGCTGGCAGGCTGACCCCTGGAGATCCATGCCAGCTGGGGCTGCGCCACCCTGGCTTAACTTGCTGCATTCCCAGCTGCACATGTAAATGCAGCACCCAGGAGCCATAAACCCTGATATGAACTGCACTGGAGTTAATTTCAGCTGAATTAATTTATTCAGCTGCGTTAATTTCATATGTAGATACGTTCTGAGAATGGAAAATTGCATCCTAAAGGCTAACATTTTTCAGGATGGAGATAGTAAAAAACAGCACACATGCATTTCTAACTGACTGAATATCTTTTCATACAGTGATATCTTGTATTACATCAAGGCATTATTCCATATTGTGAACTAGACCTCAATGTGACAAATAATTTTAAGGGTTTTTGTTTGTTGATAAAATACAAATTGCCATTTCAAAACAAAACCTTTCTGAGTTATTTCCTCTTTGTAATGTTTGCATGTAGCTTTCATTTGACCTAAAAGAACATTCCAGGCCTTCATCCAGAGAACTGATAATTCCCAGGGCAAGGGCAGGAAACAGAAGGTGGAGGAGGGAGGCAGAGCCCAGAGATCCCAGCCACCACAACAGCAGGAACAAAGGAGGGAGTAGGAGCCGGGGGGAATCTCACCAGTTGTGTGTTAACCCCTTGTGCCAGTTGGAGAGCACTCAATTACCATACAATTTTATCCCTTTGTGAATCAGCCTGTAGGGGACACTAGTACACTCAAATTCGGTACACTTAAGGATGTATAAAAGAAGGCTCACTACTCATGTCCAATGATTAAATGGATTTGAGCTATCCAGCACATCCTACATTATTAAATTTTTATATATTTCATATCTTTTGTCCCCAAAGATCTTTGAAAATAGGATGAAAAAGTAATGATAGGAGTGGATTATAAACTCCTAAAGTGTTTGCAATGTATTCTGTTATTATCTATTGGTTTGGTAACGTTAACTTACAGAATCCATTCAATGTATATAATAATATCCATAACTATTTAGCACTGATCTATCTGTTAGGAAATATAGTCTTCACATGCAGATTAAGAGACATCTAGCTAAATGCCTTTATTTAACATAAATGATTGCTTTTTCAAAAAAAATTTATGATGTTCAAGAAAATATTCACTTTGATTCTTTATTTACATTAACAGGAATATTTCTAGGAACAACAACATTGTTTTTATTTATTATCAATAAAAGACTTTCCCTTTATTGTTTGGAAGGGTGCCTTGCATTAAGGTTAGCAGCAAAAAGAAGGGAGGCTCTTGTTGGAAATGAGTAAGAAAGGTGATCAGTTTTTCCTGGAGATCAATAAAAGGGCCTCCAGAACAATAACTGCATATACCTAAGTCACTTTTAGTATTATTTAACTTGAGAGCAAGAAATGGTACAATAGCATGAAAGACAAAAGATAGGATCATATGTGGTAAAGAAGGCAGGGTGAAAAAGGATGAAAAGCTGAAACAACAAAAATTTCTGTAAAATGGAAAGTTCTCCTGCAAATATTAGTTTGGAAATGCTGAAATGCTTCATTTTGACTTTCTAAATCACAACACAACATTTGAAGTGGGCTGGCCAGGGAGCGATGCTCGCTGAATTCTTGCGGTTTGCTAAACTGAATTTCAACAAAAAAATGAATTTTCCAACTGTCTTGTGGGAATTGTAGTTCTGGCCCTTATTCTTCCCCATGGGCCAGGCTCCTTCACTGGGCTAACTTTCCCATAATTCACCTAGAATTATGCAAATCCTATGATACACATTGCAGAGGAAACACATTCTGGGAGACATACTCCAGAACGAAAGATAAAGTACTCTAGGGAGCCCAGCCCTGTAAAGCAGTCCACCATAGGTAACTGCACTTTAGTATTTTTTATTGATTAAATATTTTGGATTTAACACATGAAATATTTTGATTCAAACTGACTCAAGATAAAATATCCCATTGGCTTTTCCCAATAGATTTTTTTCCAGCAAATTGAATTTTTTTTGTAAATTTAAATCCCAATATTCTTCCAGAATATTAGTATTAGTATTATGACAGCCCCTAAGAGTCCCAGTTCAAATAAGGTCCCTATTGTGCTAAATCCTGAACAAACACATGGTAAAAGAAATTCTCTGCTTCAAAAAAAATGCAGTCCAAAGGGGAAACAGAGTCAAAGAGAAATGTTGATGAAACAAGTCACATTGAGATGAAACCACTTGGTGAAGGTCACATAATGGGTCCACGGTAGAGATGGGACTAGGTGGCCGCCTGAGTTCTGATTTACAAGATCCCCTGATGGGGACTGGGTAGCAGGTGTGATTAAAGATACAGAACAAGCAAAACGCCAGAACATCTATACCAGGGCGGAAGCAGAAAGCTTGTCTTGGTGGACTTAGTCTTTCTTTTTGAGACTGTTACTAAGGACTTTTTCTGAGATGGTGACAGTGATAAGGGGTGGAGGTAATAAGTAGAATAGGTGATATGATTGGGAACATGCAAGCCAGTGTAGGAATCACATGGGGTTGATTGGAGAATTCATTCAGAGCTAATTGCCTGGTAAAAACATACCATTGAGAAAGTTTAAATTCTAACTGTGAGGAATTAAAATACAAATTCTGAGTGACAATGAAACTATATTTAGCAATGTGAACCCTAAAAATAACACTACAGAAAACAAGGCAGGTATCATTTCCTAGCTAAGCAACTCTTAAGTTAGCATCTCCAGCTAGAAGTGGACCTTACTATATCATGAATTGTAAGGAAAATTAATTCATTTGGCATAAACACATTTATATAGCATTAGCTGAAATCAGTGGATAATTAATCATTTAATTTGCATTTAAGGACCCCCCCCCCACATGGCAGCTCAAACTTCCAAATATCAGAACTTCATAGCTAGCTAGCAACACTCCTCATAACTGGAGTCCATCTGGAGATGTCTGCATTTCTACAGATACTGAAAAATTTAAAAGACGCCAAGCGATTTTTGGAGCAACCAGAGAAACATGGGAAAATTGGGTCTGTTACAACAGTGAGCTTTACTCTGAGTACAAGAACAGAAGATCTCTCTCTAAAGTCTTTTATGCTTTACTTCAACTACTTGGCATTAATGAGCTGAGCAACTTTTAAGGAATGAGGTGACCCAGCATGCGATAGTCACGCAGTAATCCACTAGTCAAATAACTGACAAATGATCCTATTTATTTTACATGTTGCTCTGCCTTTAAAATTATTTCAGGGTTTTTGGGGTTTTTTTACAGTGAAATAACTGATGTGGTTTGTGCACTTGGTACGTAATAAATGAAGAGCAATGCATATTTGCCTCCAATAATACCTGTGAAACACTCCACAATTTTTTCCCCCACCTCCAATAATGCACCTTAAGCCCCAGGCAATGATATGATGTCATAAAAGTAGCATGAGACACACGGATTTCTAATGCAAAATGCATGTCTCCTTGTTTGGTGCCAATAACACTTCTGCTGCATGCCTTATGTAGAAGACACGAGGAGCCAGTGCTCTCAATACTAGAAAAACATATGACAAAATTATTCAGACATGGCATTTCTACTGTCAGAAGGGAAGGTCAGAATTATTACTGAAATAAGAAGGGGATTCTTGAAAAAAGGGGTATTTAAAAACTGGACAGTTTTATATAAAATCAGAACATTCTGTACCAATGACCCTACATTGTATACACCCAAATACCAATCAATGACTATTCAGCCACAACAGCATTAAATTATCCTCTTAGAAATAATATTTACACTGGCCAGTTTTAAGCATATTGGCAGATTCAAATAAATTGGATGAGGCATATAAAAGCATAATTCTTTATATAAATATATTTAACTGTCATGAAAGAGTTTTTAAACTACTAACTATATAATATTCCTCCAGACATGTTAATAAACATAACTGACAATATTTACAAATGATTTCCTTCTCACTTTTATGACAGTTGGGGACCTAAATTATAGTGAACTGCAGCAAAATTAAAAGAGACCACCTCAGGAAAAACATCATTTCAATACATTTATTAACCTATTTTATTAATTGGTTCTGATGAATTAAAGTTTGCTAAAGAAAAACTGAATAGTATGTAGGGTGCAAATAAACAGCTATAGTTTGATAAGATCTCTTGTCTGCATAACAACTACATTTCTTTAAAATGTTTCCAATCTTATTTGTGCTCGTATTTTTTAAACTATTGCAACCCAAAAATATCTAGCCTGGAATGGAAATAGCAACTGTTCTGTTTCCCTCTTCCACCCTATTCTACCAGATACTGTTTTGTTTAAACTGGCTCCTAAACAGTAGAGCACTGTACCATTAAAAACAAATCAAATAAAATTCATATTCCCACGGTGCTGTTAGTTTCCCTTATGCATGGCATCTCTGTAGATTAAAATCTCAGAATCCTAAAATAGATTCTAGTCTGCAGAGCAAAGTTCTCAGTGGGAGATGAGGGAGAGGGGTCAGTCCAGGAGTCAAAAACACAACAGACAGAAAACACACTTGTGATCCTCAGCTTCGGATATCATCAGAATGAAGGAATAAAAAACCCCCCAGAAACACATGGCACACAGAGAATACAGTATCACTTATTGCTTATAACCAAAGCAGCAATTAAACACCTTTCATCATTTCCTAAAATGCCTGTCTTTTTCAAGAAGTCAGAGACACACACACACAAAGACAAATCCTTTCCGAGCAGCAACGAAAACTTAATAACCTACCATTTTCTTTGCACTCTTCTGGAGGTTTAGCCTTTTTCGCAAGTCGTGGATCCAGCCATGATGTTGTCTTTGTGTTATGGCTGAAAAGAAAAGAGATCACTCTGAGCAGACACATACTGAAAGGAATCAAGTTTATTCCTTAAGAAAAAAGGGTTAGTCCAAAATTGCAATCGATACACTTAATTTGCTTACTGGTTCTAAGTAGCCCTGAAGGAGGTGTAAGAGTAATTGTGCAAGGCAGCTGTAAATTTGGCAACCTCAGCTCCCTGTCCTCAAAGCAGCTATTTTTATTAAAATCAACGAGAATGTTGCCAAGTTAACCTCATTGAAAATGCAGAACTCATCCAGAGCAAAAGGAATTTATTACAAATACAGTGGTCTCCCGTTGAACGAGTGCAGTCGACAGGATTCTGTACCATCCCTAGAATTTTCAGTTAGGATTATTTTCTTCTTAAACAGGTCCTTTTCATAAATACATGTTTGCTACTTCTTAACAGTCGTGCTGAAGCGGCAGAGCAGAAGTGGTGCAAATTACAGCGTGCTCCTGTGAAGTCTACATTTCCAAACCCAGTGATTAATGATACTTTGTTTAACAAACCATTATCTATTCCATATCTAATTCTTTTACCAAGATAAGATAGATATTACACAGGCTAAGTGAATCATATGGCTGTGTTGTTATACTCAGAATAAATTTTTCAGGAATCGGCAATGAAATAGCCTTGAATTGGTACAAACTGTTTTCCAGGACAGTATTTTGCTAAATGAATAGATACTTACAACAGCTAATCAGAGTTAAAACAGGGTTTTTTTAAATGTATGCCTTTTCTCCATCCATTTCAATTCGGGCCCAAATTTTAAAAAACGCCAAGAGAGGCAGGCTATAAAACAGGAAGGAGATGTGATCATCATTCCTAAATATTCGGAGGCACTTTTCTTCTAATAGTGACCTCCCCAATCCTCTCTAAGGAACATTTTATTTATCTGACATATCTTATAAGGTGCTTATTTTGCGCAGTTTATACAGTACCAAATTGTTCAGACTATTATGAATACATTATTTTCTGTCTAATTTAAAAATGTACTTAAAAGTTTTGTTACAAGGCCAGCCAGACAGACAAAAATGTATCAGGAAATATTCTGTAATGCATTCATTATTCAGATTGGTTCAGGTAGGCATGGTTCTTTGGGTAGATGAGATAACTTTTATTAGACCAACTAAATATTGGTTCACACACAGCCTTGTCCAAGAGTGTGACTCTTCCCCTTGGAACAAGGCAGTCCTGTGTTCTAGTCCTTTTTCCCACTGTGTTCTTTGGTAGGTCACTTACCCACTCTGCCTTGATTTCCCCCATTTCTCAAATGGAAACAAGACTTTCTGCTTCACCTAAGTATTCTGCTGATTTTAGATCTTCTACATGTAAAAGAGGCATATTTGGATTAGGTACTAACATATTCGATTTTAAAATATGATGGTTAATTTGGCTACTAAAATGCATATTTGGGTATTTAAATATGCTTTTTGATGGTGGTAGTAGATGACTTTCTCCCTCTACTCCAAAAGAAAGCCCATGGAGGATAAAAAGTCAAAGTTATGGTTTTATTTATACAAAAATTAGTAACAATAAGATCAATTGAACACCAGGTTTTCTGCTTGAGACTGGTAGCAGCTGTAGTTAAGATTCTTCCTTGTGGACTCTTCTGCAGGGCATCTCTTAGCTACCATCAAGTGCTATGCCTCTCTCCAACCGAGCCCTGTTCCTAACAAGAGACTAGCTTCTGTACCTTCCTACCCCCAACACCATTCCCAAAGAGAAATTTGCCATACTGAGATCTTGGGCCATTTGTAGATGACACTTCTTAGCAGGTTTAAAATGGGGTAAATGCCTTTTGCACTACTTGAATGGCATTGCTATTTGCGCATTCGGCGGCATATTACACGTTAATTCCAGCTACCGTAGCACATTCGGCGGCATAATACACCTTAAATGGCTTTGGGATGCAGCAAATGACTTTGGGGAGCTGCAAAGTAAAACACCTCCGAGGAATTTTAGTTTCCTATCCTACAGCTGCAGAGGGAAGCACCGGGCTCCATGTGGCTCCGGAGCTGTGCAGACAGAACGTGCAGGCAGCCTGGCAGCAGACTGGGAAGGCAGGTTCCACAGAAGGAATAAATAAAAAAAGCAGCGAGCCTGATTACCCCCCTTCCAACCCCCTGCCTGCCTGTCTGCCTGAGCTGCCTGAGCTGCACCCGCTATCTTCCAATGGCTAATCTTAAGGTGTGATCATGCAGACATACCCAAACTAGCTTAGGTAATGATAGCAGTGTAGCACCAAATTCAGCACAGGCTGGCTTCTTCACTATATGCTCAGCTTGTTAGGCAGATTTTGCAGAATGCAGCGAGTCCCACCAGACCGAGTGGCTAGGGACAGGCATTCAAAAAGCCTGAGCCTGAATTGAACTGATTTGGAGGTGGATAGACATTCTCTTTTCATTCCAGAAATGGAGGCACATGCCTACAGTGGCTCAGGATAGATGCTGGGGGGTGCTAGACCAGCCCTCCCTCCCTTATTCATAGATTTATAGATTCATAGATGCTAGGACCAGAAGGAACTTCAACAGATTCATAGAGTCTGACCCCCTGCCTAGGACAGAAAGAGTGCTGGGGTCTGACGACTCCAGCCAAATGCCTTGCCAGCCTTCTCTTAAAGAGTCCCAAGGTAGGGGAGAGCACCACCTCCCTTGGAAGCCCATTCCAAATTTTGGACACCCTTACCATGAAGAAGTTTTTCCTGATATCAAGCCTAAATCTGCTCTTTGTCAGTTTGTGACCATTGTTCCTTGTTACCCCAAGTGGTGCCGTGGTGAACACAGCATCTCCAATCCCTTGCTGCATCCACCTAATGAATTTGTAGGTGGCCACAAGATCACCTCTCAGCCTTCTCTTGCAGAGGCTGAAGAGGTCCAGGTCCCTCAGTTTCGCCTCATAGAGCCTGTCCTGTAAGCCCCTAACCTTATGAGTGGCCCTCCTCTGGACCCTCTCGAGTCTATCAACATCCTTCTTGAAGTATGGTGCCCAAAACTGGATGCAGTACTCCAACTGCGGTCTGACCAATGCTGCATAGAGGGGAAGTATCACCTCCTTAGTTCTATCTGATGCATGATAAAGTCCGGTTACCTTTGCTGATGGCTTTGTCACACTGATGACTCATCTTCATCCAAGTCAATACCGACCCATATACTACTACTCTCCAGATGTGACTGCTAAGCCAATTTGCCACCCACTGGACCATTTAAACATCTATGTCACAGCCTCTTCATTCATTTATGAGAATGGGATGAGATACTGTATTGAAGGCCCTGCTAAAATCCAAGAAAACAACATCCTGTACTCCTGTGTCTAAGCATTTTGTGACCCTGTCATAAAATGAAACCAGATTGGTCAGGCATGATCTACCTGCTATGAATCCATGCTGGTTTCCCTGTTGCATTATTTTTCCCACTAGACTCCCACATATATGATCCTTCATAATCTTTTCAAAGACCTATGTGGCATTGGTCAGGCCACAGTTGGAGTACTCTGTCCAGTTTTGGGTGCCACACTTCCACAGGGACATGGAGAATCTGGAGAGGGTTCAGAGGAGGGCCACTCACATGATTAATGACCTTCGTGAAAGACCCTATGAGGGGAGGTTCAGAGATCTAGATCTCTTCAGCCTTCACAAGAGATGGCTGACGGGAGACCTTGTTGTCGCCTATAAGTTTATCAAGGGAGGACAACAGGGAATCGGTGATACACTATTTACCAGAGAGCCCCAGGGAGTAACTAGGAGTAATGGGTGCAGACTAGTGGAGAGTAGATTTAGGTTAGACATTAAGAAGAAATTTTTTTACAGTAAGGGTGGCCAGAATCTGGAATGGGCTTCCAAGAGAGGTAGTACTATCACCTAACTTGGAGGTCTTCAAGAGGAGGCTTGATAGTCACCTGGCTGGGATCATCTGACCTTGGTCCTCTTTCCTGCCAGGGGCAGGGGGTCAGACACAATGATCCATTGTGGTCCCTTCCGACTCTACAGTCTATGAATCTATGACCTTTCCAAGGATGGAGGTGAGACTGACTGGCCTATAATTACTCAGCCAGGTCCTGTATGCAGAAACCCATGTGAACGGTTAGATTTGGCTGACTGCTCCTCCCAGCAGATGTCAGGGTATTCACCTAGGTATTCATGCCTCCCCTCACCTTCCACAGTGCTGAGCTGAGGGAGGGCGTGGCCAGGCTCCTGGCAGGACTCTCTGATTAGGGAGGGGTTCCCCTCTCCAGCAGCCCAGCATGGAGTTGATAACACAGTGTTTCTCATCCCTAACTCAGTGTTTATCAGCCTGTTAAGAAAACAAAAGCTTCTCTCATTAGTTCAAGCTCTACTTAAACAACTTTTTCCAAGAAAGGAATGGAGGGACATTACCAACTATCTGTTGATTAGCTCCAAAAAGGCCCTAAGCTGACACAGTGCTGTTTGCCTTTGTCCTGTCTGCCACAGCACGGCCCATAGCCAACATGTGGTATGCTAGCTAATGCTGAGAGGTGTCTGTGTAAGGCAGAGGGGAGGGGGAAAATCCCTGCTTCAGCAGGGAGTGGTGAAGGGGGGAATACGAGGAAGAGAGGCAGATGCTCTGTACATGCAGTCTCTGCTGGGGCTACAGCCATGGAGCAGAGGGGAGGGGCCAGCCCAGTCAGCTCTCTGGAGCAGAGAGCCCTACCCAGCCCAGAGAGCATGCTGGGATGTTGAGGGACTCTGATTTAACTTAAACCAGGAAGGGGTCTGGGACAGACATTGTATAAACTAGTTTGACCCAAATAAGTTAAGTCTGATATTACATTGAACCAGGTTTATCTCAAACAGGTTTCAGCCATTTTCAAACTGGTTTATGTGCACTGCACATCTGTTCTGTTACAGGTTTAAACCAATTTCTGATCACTGAAACTGGTTTGTGTGTAATGTCTGTTCCTAGCCAGTAAGTTCCACCTACTGCAACAGATCATCAGGAACTGACCAGGACTTTCCTAATGGGAAAGGTGCT